TCCAAACCTCCAGCCCTCCAGCCCTCCAGCCCTCCAGCCTCCAGCCCTCCAGGCCTCCAGCCCTCCAGCCCTCCAGCTTGCCAGCCCTCCAGACTGACTGCACCGCCAGCCCTCCAAACCTCCAGCCCTCCAGCCCAGCAGCGCCAGCCCTCTCCAGCCCTCCAGCCCTCCAGGCCTCCAGCCCTCCAGCCCTCCAGCCCTCAGCCCTCCAGCCTTCGAGCTATCCAGCCGTCCTGTCCTCCAGTCCTCCTTTGGTGAAATGGTCTTGCGCAGGCTCTCGTCCTGGCAAAGCAAAAAGGCTGCTCTGTGTCATTTGTGCTTCTCCTCACCACTGGAACTCCCAAGCCCTCCAGCCTGCCAGCCCCCCCAGCCCTCCAGCTCCTCCAGCCCTCAGCCCTCCAATCGTCTTTGGTGAAATGGCACAGAGCAGGTTCTTGCTTTGGCAACCTTCTTCCAACCTTCCAACCCGAGCCCTTCCAGCTCCAGCCCCTCCAGCTTGCCAGCCCTCCAGCCCTACAACCTCCAGCCTGCCAGGCCTCCAGACTGCAGCCCTCCAGGCCCTCCAGCCCTCCAAACCTCCAAACCTCCAGCTCTCCAGCCCGCCAGCGCCAGCCCCCTCCAGCCCTCCACCCTCCAGCCAGCCTCTAGACCGCAGCCCTCCAGCCCCACACAGCAGCCCCCCAGCCCTTCAGGCCTCCAGCCCTCCAGCCCCCTCCAGCCCTCCAGCCTCCAGCCCTCCAGCTTGCCCAACCCTCCAGACTGACTGCAGCGCTCCAGCCTCCAAACCTCCAGCCCTCCAGCCCTCCAGCCTCCAGCCCTGCAGGCCTCCAGCCCTCCAGCCCGCCAGCCCTCCAGCCCCTCCAGCCCTGCAGACTGACTGCAGCCCTCCAGCCCTCCAAACCTCCAGCCCTCCAGCCCTCCAGCGCCAGCGCCAGCCCTCTCCAGCACTCCGCCCTCCAGCCCTCCAGCCCTCCAGCCCGCCAGCGCCAGCCCTCTCCAGCCCTCCAGCCTCCAGGCCTCCAGCCCTCCAGCCTCCAGCCCTCCAGCCCTCAGCCCTCCAGCCTTCGAGCTATCCAGCCGTCCTGTCCTCCAGTCCTCCTTTGGTGAAATGGTCTTGCGCAGGCTCTCGTCCTGGCAATCTGTGTCATTCGTGCTTCTCCTCACCACTGGAACTCCCAAGCCCTCCAGCCTGCCAGCCCTCCCAGCCCTCCAGCTCCTCCAACCCTCAGCCCTCCAACAGCCCTCCAGCCCTCTTTGGTGAAATGGTACCAGGTTCTTGCTTTGGCAACCTTCTTCCAACCTTCCA